ACACGTTCTTAAGACGACTTTTAGCGCTTAATTTCTGCCAAAGTGCATTTCACGGTCCGTTCTCCCAGCTACCCTAGGGGCTACAAAAGAATAAAATCAATTAAAATTTATTTACAAAAACGATAGCAGAATCTCTTATGCGGAAATTCAGATCAAAATTAGACAAGCATTTCAAGGGGTAAAATTGTATCTAATTTATGTATCTATTCAATCCCCAAAGACGGATCAGGCATGATCTTCAATGCTGGAGAATATGTAAATAATTTCAATATGCGATGCCATTACGCAAATGACTTCAAATTTTGAACTCTACTCACTGAATTTATATTTCAGCCATATTCCATGAAATACAACATGATTCGTATGAACATCACTACAGTTCGAGTCATCTACCAAGGGTTAGGGAGCTGCGGTACACTTCTCAAAATTTTGGCTGTTTCTAGCATGGTCACCTTCTGCAATTCATCAACTGACTTTAGCAACCGCTGACTTTCACTTGTTCAGGGCGTTGATTACTACTGGAATGACTTCCGTCTTAACTCCTGAGATTATATATATTTCATTACTCAATCTCAGTAACTTTTCTTCCATCCCCTTAACAACGCTGCCGTTAACGAGACATGCCGTATAAACGAGTTCGGCAAGCTGTTCTGTTTGCCTAGCAACATGCCATCAGAAGATGAGCCGATATATTTTTCTCAGTTCGTATCGGCAACTTTCAGTTTCAATTTTCCCTTGTAAAACCCCTTCCACCACTTTCAGATATTTCCATGATTGATTTGCCACTGATAGGTCAGCTCGCTTACACAAACGCAGGCGAACTATCCTCGCAACGCTGCTGTGCGTTCTTTTGTATTCTTGATTCCCAAATGAAGTTTGTTTACTAACATGAATATATAAATTTATGAAATCATTAATAACCGTTAATATTAATGAATAATAAATTGCTAATACATGCGTCAGCATATGATTTTAATTGTTCGATATAAACTGAAGCATCATATGCTTCAGAATGATAGTCTAACGTACAGTCCAATTCATTTATTTCCGTTTCCAAAAATTAGAACCTCCACGCGAATATGTTAATGCAATTAATCGTTCTACAGAGTCGTATAAAATTTTTATCTACACCACTTTTGGGAATAAACGACACAGGCTGGCAGCCTACGAATTAATTGGTTAGGAAATCAGAATTAATTTTCTTTGTGGAAAGCACGACGGAGCAGTTTCTGGGGATTACTACAATTAGCAGGAAGTCTCATTTCTGACCTTTAACCAGGTCCCATAAATCTAAGCAGAACAGAATGTCAAACTGCTTGGTTACGATAGCGAAAACAATGACGACTTGTCGCAAACGGTTATGTGATTGCTTTGAGGGCAAGAAACTGAATCTCAACGCCTCGTACCTTTAACTATATTAGAGGGTTGGTCTGATCGTAACGCTAAACGGAATGCCTGGATCTCACTACAGGCTTCTATCCTGAAAAGAAATGGGAAATTTTTCCATCATCTCAGAAAGTGCCTCGACACAAGACAAGGTGCATTTATGGTTGAATTCTCAACTGCCATTGCAATGACAATGAAAATGTCACCGTAAACAATGGGATTATATAATTAATTTCCAAGTTTCGGATAAACTTTACACCGCATTTTCAATTATTGACCATCCTAAAAATACAAACATCACTTCTTTTTCTCTGTTTCAAGATATTATCTACAACATAAGTCTGGACCTACAATTCTTCTGCCC